TCTACGGAGCCCCGTAGGGGTCATGGAGAAGAAAAAATAAATGTTTGAACAAAAAAAAAAAAAAAAACCTTTGCGGGATCTCTCAAAACCCCGTTGCAGTTTGCAGACGGTCCTAAGCACTCCTCTCCCTCCTCCAGCTGCAGATTGTGATCAATTCTTGATGTGTAGCTCGGATGACGGCGCGTATCGAACTGTTCTGATAGAAACGACTCTGTAGCTCGTTGTTTACCTTGCTATGATTGTAAAGTCATGTTGTTTGTATTTTTTATTGATCCGCGAAATTCAAATCTGTCAATAACTCAGCTCAGAGGGACGTGCATGTCCCCTCGCTCTGAGTGTTCTCTTGAGGTGTCTTTCACTGTCTTTCACATGTGAAACCCGTGCCTATTGCCAAGCANATATAAAGATATAACATCAGTGCTTGGCAATAGGCACAGGTTTCACATGTGAAAGACAGTGAAAGACACCTCAAGAGAACACTCAGAGCGAGGGGACATCATGTCCCCTCGCTCTGAGTGTTCTCTTGAGGTGTCTTTCACTGTCTTTCACATGTGAAACCTGTGCCTATTGCCAAGCACTGATGTTATATCTTTATATTTAAGGCCAAGCTCAAAGTAAAATCGATGAACCGCTCCATTGTTGTGGTTTCTGTGTTGCCGTAGCAGCCGAACTGACCAGGAAGTACATTGAGCTAAATGAAAAGTTTTGCGAGATCTCGCAAAACATATTTATTTTATTTTTTGTTCAAATAATTTTTTTCTTCTTCTCCATGTCCCCTAGGGGGCTCCATAATTATCTGCACTGACCTAAACAGTCAAAACTAAATAAGTACCAGCACATCCTGGTGTGCACGAGACATATTGATTAGGATTTTTAGCAATAACTTCATATTTAGTAAGAAATGAGTTTAGACCAGAATCACTTTTTGTCTGTTTTAACGATTCCATTGATGAGATTGATTTCGGTTTAGCTGGCTACATTTGATCACCATATTACAATGAATGTAATAAGACATGTTTATTAAACTAGCCAATTGGTTCAAAGAGCCAGGAAATCTAAACAATAAAACATTTTTAACAACAAGTTTGTCTTTGGATCTTAATGTTTTATTAGGTTTCATGTAAGGATTTTTACAATTGCTATAAACCAGCGTAAAAAGACCTTAAACTAACATTTTACAACTTGAATATCTGATGGCCATCCAAGTTGGTTTTTCCCCAACGTCACTGTTTTCTGTAATTGCTAAATATTGAGCTTAGAGCTGCAACAAGCTGTACACTGTGGTAGTAGTACAGGTAACTTGTTTACATTACATCCCATTAGAGAAGGCTTTATATTTCAAATATTGTTAAATACTGTTATAAGATGAGACTTTAAAATATACTAATAACTCGCGACATTGTGTTAGGCCCATCTCTAAAACAAACTGTAATCCATGTGTTTCTTGCAACCTATTTATGGGTGAATAGTAAATACTGAGCAACCACCTCCTGATTGCACCATGATGAAATATCTAGCAAGTGTTGCGTGTATTTACACTCCGATATATTCACAGCAACTGCTCGACTGCCACTTGAAACTGTAACATCGCAAACTTAAAAATCAGTATTTCCTCAACAGCAGGGAGAAACATCTGAATAGTGAAGCCAAAATAATAATTTAAAGAAAAACAACAACACACAAAAGACAGAACCTGCTCTCCCACAGTTTGGGTTTGGCAGTGAAAACAGAATGCAGCAGGTGTGGAGAGAGGAAACAATGTCTGCCTCCAAACTTCCTCATTCTCCAACCGCCTGCCGTCTCTGTATAAACTGTCTGCGGTGTTTTCACCTGAGCCGACATGTCTGTGAAACATGTGCTGTGACCCAGACTCACCTCTAGGGGGCACCGGGGTGAAGGGGATGCTCTGAGACAGCCTCATCAGGTTGTTGCGCTCCACAGCTGCAGGAGGAAGAGTATGTGCACACGTTAATATTGTTTATATGTTCACTTTGTTTTATATAATATGTTATATTGTTGCATCGACTCAGTTGTCTTGTGTCTTACCTGTCAGAGAGAAACCATTATTTATTTATTTTTTAATATCATACATGTTACCTCCTTGTGTCTATTAACCTGATAACATGTTATATTTGGCTGCTTGTACCTTTTACATTTTGTGACAAATAATCTGAGGGGAATTTCTTATTGTTTGTTTTTAACTTGTGATGTGTCATTTTGTAAAAGCACTTTGAGCTGCATGTGTTATATGAAAAGTGCTGTATCCAGAGTCCTGCAGGTTTCACCAACTCAAAAGACTTTTTAAGACCTTTTTAAGACCACTTCGAATTTAAGACCTATTTCACGGTAAGAAAGTATGAAGGAAAATTGCTATGAAAGAACAAATACGTCCCATAATTACTTACAAAGTAAATGTATTCATGTTCAACATAAGAACGATGCAGCAACAGTAACAGTAGTCAGCGCTCTGCTGTCTTCATGCTGTTGGAGGATTGGTGTTTAGCTACGGTATTTAGCGTCCACAGGATTACCGATTACAGCGACTTCTCCCTGGAGAAACTAAGGGCTAAGTGGTGGTGTTCCAGGCGGGATTTGAACTCACAACCTTCCGATCTTCAGCCCACCTCACTATCCATTAGACCACCACTACCCCCATCACCAGCACCTCCGCTTTTAGCGTTGACGTAGACTCAAACGTCGCCCGGAGGTCCCCCGGTATTGTTGCGGGAGTAGCTGCACTAGCTAACGCCGCATTAGCTAAACAAACGCTCATTTTGTTTGTAAAAGGTGCAGCGAGCTTCAAACACGTTCCCCTCCACGAGTTTCAACCAAGCACTACATTCGATATTTTCCAACCAAATACGATCAAATGTAAGACTTTTTAAAACCCTGTATATAAATAAAGCTTTATTATCATTAATATGCAAACAGGTTAAGACAAACACAGGAGAGGAATCAACAGAGGTGACAACATTTGGTGTGATTATTGTTTGCTCTTAGCCTCTCTACCACAGACAACACTCACGTTTAATGTGGTTTAAAAAAAAAAAAAGCATAACTAGATATGTAGCATCATTGATTTAGCAAACTAAAACAATACAAGAAAACACAATGAAACACCATATTCCCCATTTCTCACCTGAGTACATGAAGCTTTCTATGGGCTTGAATGGAGAGCCAATAGCTATGGAGAAAAATAGGAGAACTGTTAATCTCTTTAAATAATTAGTTGATGACATTTAATGAACATGACGGTGAAAAAAGAATCCGAGCACATCTATTCAGCAACAACACCCTGAGCTGTTCTAGCGTTCACCAGCAGATGTCTCCATTTCACAATTGTACTTGCATTTAAATGTTCTTAAAGTTCTTGGACATTGTTTTTCTTCTCATAAATAAGAACAAGATCAAGGACAATACTCGAGAAGAAATAGACCATAAACTCTTTATTTTTAATATCCTTTTTTTATCATTCTATTGGTCTTTGTGTCAAATGATTGTATGCAGATGTATGGCTCTGAGTGTGTTGTGATGTGTGCTCGGTCAGTGTGTGACTCACAGTCCTTCCTGGCTCCCAGGTGGCTGTGTCGGGGCGTGTAGAGAGAAACTGAAGCTGGTGTCACCGCTGAAGGAGAAGAAGATGTCATGTTATTATATGTTGTATGTGAGGGACTGCGGATGGAAATTAGCTCAAAGCTAAAATCCGGCATATTTACACTTGAAGCATTATTTGTCTTAAAGGTAGGGTAGGTAAGAACGGAGAAACCAGCTCGAGTGCGCTAGAATTTGAAAATACGCAGCCGAAAAAAATCGGCCTCTTCCTTCAGACTTTCTTACAGAGCCCCTCCTCCAACACACACGAACGCGCACATGACCAACGAGGGCACGAGATAAGTTTGTGCACGAGATAGAAGGCTGAAAGGCAGGTAGGCCATCCAGTTATTTTAGCCGGGCCAGCTCAGATGATTGGTCGTGCTTTTTACAGCACTACGGCTTCCACTGATGACATTTTTTTTGGATTTATTGTCAAAGCACTTCAGATATTCATTGCTATCGGGATGTTAAGAGCATTCCATGGAATATAACAAAAAGTGTTTCTGAAGTGAATGACCTATCCCACCTTTAAGTGTTCATTAATGTGCATTGTCCCTGTTCAAATAAACGATTAAATGAAATAAATGAAGAGGACAGTGATGCTGAAATCCAAAAACACGAGTTAACATAAATGTATTGTTCAGCAAAAGTTCCAAAATACTTCGAAAACAGTCCATATTCAATGCAATATAAGCAAGTATAGTGATTTGCATATAAAACAAATCCCCAGATTGTATTAACTTTTCTTATATGGAATGAAGCTTCTAAAAGGATATCATATTCTGGATGAAACATGGCACCTTTTCCATTTTGTTGCTAAAGGCAAATCATAATAAAGCCACACTACCCTTCATTAGATCATTATAAATGGCAGTGAGGCAGCCACTAGAGGAAAGGTCAAAGGTCACTTTGATAACAGCGTCTGTGGAGATGCTGCTGGATCAGCAGAACGAGTCCGACCGAACTAACTCACCGTTTGGTGATTCTTCCCCAGGGGCTCGTCTGACGGAGAACAAAAGAAACAAAACAACATTAGTTTAGCAAAAACATGTGAGCTTGTGTTCTGCATTAACACACAGTAAGAGAATAGTGCATTGAGGGCTGGCTTCAAATACATTCTAACAAATATGCATCAGTGCAAATTAAATCAGAAATAAAATAATCTGACTTCAACAGACATGTTCAATTATCATGTGCACTATTACTTATATCTGCAATTTGACATTAAAGCACTTTTAAATATGTTGCCAAAAGAATGTTACAAAAGTGACATTTATCTGAGTTTTATTGTTTTATTGTTATTTGTGCTAGTATCACTTGTAGATGTAATTCACTTTATATACATTTTTGTTTACTCAATTAACTGTTTTTATTTTTCACTATTATGCTTGGTTTCGGTATTAGTCATAGGACCTTTGTGTTTTTATTTTAATATTGTGAATTTTGAGAAATTTCTGGTACAAGATATCCTAACTATTAATTATTCATACAGTTTTATTTGATGTTTAACTTAGGAAATGGTGTGTGTGTGTGTGTGTGTGTGTGTGTGTGTGTGTGTGTGTGTGTGTGTGTGTGTGTGTGTGTGTGTGTGTGTGTGTGCGTGTAAACGTAGACATCTTGAATGAAATCAGTGGAAGGACACTTACAGGCTGCTGGCTTGGGCTGACTTGCCCTGAACTCTCTCCTGGTGGAGAAATAAGAAGTGGTTAAACAAAGACAGAAAGCAGCATTAAAGTCGTTTTTATCTTTGTACTCCGGAAAGTACACACAGTCTTGTCTTACCAGGCATGCAGACCGGGGGTCCTCGTGGGCGAGGATGTCTTCAGCTGACGACCGGCTCCTTTCCCTCTTTGTCAGAGCTACAGGAAATAAACAATCATAAACAATAAAAACATACTCATGTGGGGCTTCCACATACAGCGCCTCAGACTCAGGGACATACAAGGCTTTGTGCAAATATTTATTATAACTGTGTTTTAAATTTAACTCATATATGCCTTAAACCCTTGCACCATATCAGTAAATATATATATTTATACTAACAACATGCAGATACCGCAACCTTTATCGACTCTTTGTGCTTTCTGTTTGGATGCAGACTACAATGTACTATGTATTAGGGATGGGAATTTGAAAGCAAATGTATATTCGAATATTCGACCCCCAAAAAAACGGTTAACCGATTAACCGAAATGTACATATCCCATATAAAAAAATAAATGTTCATAAATACATGTTCAAATAAGTATAGAAACCAAGTCATATTTGTCAAATTGATTGAACTGGTGACCACAGTTTGAACAGTTGACAGCTATAGGCCTACAGCTTTCATGCTTAAAACATAACTTGGTTTTTAAATGAAAGAGGGATCATACACGAACAACATAACGGGTTAGGGTAATGTAACCCTTACAACAGAGATCAACAACCTATAACAGGGCTATGCACAGAATGCAGCTATTCAATACTCATTCTTCTTTAAGAATATGAGCATGTCTACATGCTCAGGGGAGAGGCGGGTGCGGAGGTGATTCACAATCAGGCCAGCTGTAGAGAAGACCCTCTCAGCTGGAATTTGGGCATAAGATGAGGTTTGAGTCTGCGTGATCTGCGTGTAGGGAGGGGCAGCAGCCATATCATTAGAACTAGCTAGATCTGATGGATTTGGACATAAACGTGAGTGAAGTATAACCGGACGCGCGAGAGAGAGATCAGCACCTGCAGCTCTGCCCGCTGTGAGGGACCGGTGAGCGGAGCAAAACACACCTTTAGACCTAACACATTTAGCTATGGCACTGTCGTATACATTGAATTATTCCATTTGATAATATGTAATCAATTTAGGCACACCTGCCAAAAATAAATAAAAATAAAAATAATAATACAAATATTCATAACTAGGGATGGGTACCGAGAACCGGTACTAAGTCAATACCGGTACCTGATTGGACGGTATCGTTAAGCCGCTGGACAAACGGTGCTGCTATCGGTATATCTGTTACGTCTACTTCCTTAGTTTAACTTTAAACCATTCTGGTTGGTTGGGAANGCAGAAGGAGGCCACCACATAAACTGTCCCGCTACTACAGTGCCGTCCCCCTTCGGTCATCCACGACCCTCTCACAGAACTGACCGGTCTCAACGCTCATCCCCAACCGTACCGGGCTCGCTCCTCTACTGTCCAGTGACGCCACTCACCCACCGATTGCCGTGACACGCCAACCGCCGCTCACAGCGACAAACAAAAAGCACTTGTCTGGCACGTGGGTGACTGGGTACCTTCTTTTTGAACATCTCGTAAACATCACTAGAGTTTTTTGAGACGACGTCGGCCGGAACTTACGTGTGTCAGGTGGTCGTGGTTCAACTCGAATACTCGTACCCGTACAATATATTAACGGCACCCGTGAAGAAAGGGACTTGAACGCGCTCTCGCGCGGTAACAATGTAGGACTCGGTGAACAGACAAAAAATAATTTGAGTGAGGTCCAAGGATGAACGCGGCGTGAAAGTAGACCTACTCACCAGATCTCAACGCTAGAAGCGTCACAACTTGGGCAACGTCTACTTACGACCCAACGTGAGGCACGGAGCAAAACTTTCGACGGCTGTTCGTTCGTTTTGCGAGCGCAGAACCTGTGCGACATACGTTGCGTATGTACACTAGGCTACGGTCCGGAAATATCTCTTGTAGGGAGACGACTAAAGTTTACCGGCACACCCCATAAAAACTTTCTTCACGGTAGAACCGGGAGAACCCTAACAATTGAAATACCAGGAGGCGTCGTCGTTCGTCGTCACGTCGGCGCCCGGACCCGTAAACAGTGCAATCATGGACGAGACATTTGTAGTACATCTCATTATTTTCGAGGATGTATTCAGAACAACCAAGTTCATGTCGGATCAGCTTCAGTCCGCCACACTTGCCTTGCCTAATAAAGATTTCATGTGACACATACAATTGATTTGTTGATGGGAATTAATGTGAATAAATTAACTCTAGGTTAACGGTACTCTTGCTATCACTACTCACCGACACTATAAACCTTGTCCCTCATGCTAGCCCTGACAACACCGGTAAGCACACCTTCATCTAGGCTGCACTGTTACGTGTCCTGACTTGTAGTGGTTCTCTCCTCTATCTACACTCTTCTTGTCATCTTTGTAAAACGATATCAGACTGGTAATTGACACATTCATGATTTCTAGTTAAATTCAGTGTGGCTAAAATGAAAAGCTTTGTTAAAATATGCAAGCACGCGAAAGTCAAATTCAGCTTTATTGTCAAAAATTCTCCATGTGTTATACATCCAGAAATATCTAAATATCGTTTCCCACAGTGTGACATGTATACATAAAACAAAACAAAAAGGGCCTAGATAAACGTGGTATACATTAAACAAAACAAAAAGGGCCTAGATAACCGGGGTATACAGTTTAAAATGTTAATATATTTAAAGTGTTCAAAGTGCAGTTTCAGTGCAAGTCAGTTGAAACGATCTTAAGTTGGCGTGACGTTGAAGTCGTGCGACCCTGCTGCTGTACTGGCTTGTAGTTCGTTTATAGCATAACGTTAGCATTTCGCTTTTGGCGACTAGATTTATGATTCAAAAATTATAAAAGTAGGGTTGACATGTGGAGATTATCCGGCTGAACAAAACGTGATCCCTCTCTTGACCTTATTTCGAGCTATTTTCCAAAAACCTATGGAGAACTTGCATTGGTTTTTCACGAAGGAACCGGAAGAAGTTTACTTCCGGGTTTTACGACGCGTCACTGCGGTTCTCTATTAAATATCCAAAATCAAAACGTTGGTTTGATGCATGTGATACTGACTTTCTAACTAAATCAACATCTCTTTCTATTTATAACCTTTTGACTTCTACTATTAAATATATATCTGTATGAGTGAAATATAATATTCGCATTTTCTAACAAATAAATTAAGCACTTCTTAAACAATGAAATAAAAACCAAATAGTGCTAATATTATAATTACAACTTCTATTTCATTATTATAATCATCATTATTATTAATAATAATACTATTATTATTATTATTACTTGTACTACTTCCACTATTAATAATGATAATAATTATTACTATTATCTTTATTTGTATTAGTAGTAGTAATGATAATATTAATGATATAACAAAAAACAACAATTATAACTTTGTTATTTATTATATTATTATTATTACCATTATCATGAGTTTTAAAAATATATAACAACATATCATAATAATAATAATAAATATGTATACACTATTATTATTAATTTGTTATTGTATTTTCACCATTAAATTAATTAGTTTTAAAAGAGATAATAATCATAATAATAATAGTAATTCTCTTCATTAGTTTTAACAATAAGAAATTAATATCTTAAATAAACCATCAGGAGGTATTTTTTTATATACCTACCGTGATAGTATAGTGCCAAAAGAATGACGTAAACGGATGCTACTGCGAAAAAAATATGTTTCATTCTTCTTTGATGCACGGTTTCATCAGAGCGGGAAGCTCCGCTTGCATCACACCAGGGAGTGTCCGTGTTCTGTGTGACTATAAAGAGATAAAGACACTGAGTCAGTGCTCTTGTGTGGCCCTGTGTAACTCTACATGTGTAAAAGTGCAATGGAGATTTCTAATGATAAACAATAAGGTTATACTAAGGTAAATAAACAACATCAGTGTTACGCATCCAAATCACCAAAAAGTGTCTATTACTGTATAACACTCACAAAGGTGGATTTATTTAACAGGACTTTTGTCTTTTACTGCATTAGATTTAGGTGCACCTAATACATTGGCATCTGGATGAAACAAGCAAAAATAAATATATTTACTAAAAAGGCATTAGAAATTATCTACAGTAAAAACTAAAAACTGATATTAGATACTGAACATACTGGTCACAGTGTGCACATCATCCAGGCATTAACACATGTGTACTGTATAGAATAATTTGAAGTAGACAGGGTTTTTAACGTACAGTTTACAGGGTCATGAGTTACAGATCAGATCTAAGTGATCATCCTCTGGGGAGCATGAAAATCCAAAGCTTATTTTAGTGCAATCTGCTGATTATTCTTCAAAATGCCTTGTCATAATTACATTGTAGAAACAGGCCATCTTCAAACACATATTGCTAGCAGGGTAAAGAGAGAAAGAGAGTATTTGTGTCAACATACGTCATGAAACCCTCATGACTGTTGAGGAAAAAACACATTTTTGCTTTTATTGTGAATGTGATCTTGATTATTATTTCGGGAACAAAACTTGGAGGTTCCGATTTGACTCCATCCATTAACCTGTTAGGCCCGAGAGCCCCCTGTACTGCTGCGGGGTGTTTTTTCATGAAACTGTGTCTAAGGGAATTTTATTTAAAAACCTATTAATTCTCCCTTAACGGTAAGAAACTCAGCTAAATGAAGATACGAACCATTTTTACCGAAACAAAGCACAAGTCTCACAAGAAGCGTCTAAATGAGCCCTGAGCGAAAGAATGCTAACGCACTTAGCACAGATCTCAGGGTAAAAATACCCTTATTACTTATCGTAACTGCACATACAATATATCAGATGAAAGCTGAGATTCCATAGATTCTATAGGTATTAGTATCATCACTAGGGATGGGTACCGAGAACCGGTACTAAGTCAATACCGGTACCTGATTGGACGGTATCGGTATACCGTTAAGCCGCTGGACAAACGGTGCTGCTATCGGTATATCTGTTACGTCTACTTCCTTAGTTTAACTTTAAACCATTCTGGTTGGTTGGGAACCCTCATCCCGTGTGATGTATCCGGTTTGAGACCCCTCTGATTGGCCACTGTAAATGCCACTCCTCATCTCTCTCAACAGCGCTCTTATTATTGTTGTGAGACTCCCGCGGGCATGGCGGACAGAGCGAAGCGATCGAAGGTCTGGAAAAATGTAGTGGCGATAGTGCAAGGTGCAATCTATGTAATCAATTAGTTGCTTGTAAAGGGGGTAACACAAGCAACTTAATGAAGCATTTGCAAACGAGACACTCATTGAATCTTAAATGGTGCTAGCGATACTGCCGCGCCGTGAATGTGACCTGAGCGAAGGCTCGCAGGCAGGTTAGCTGCTGCGCACGTGTAATATGTTTTGTTGGGTGCAGTCTTGCAGGCACATCGCCTTGTCTTTTTTTAGTTTATTATCACCAAATTATTGAAAAGTATCGATAAGAGTATCGAAAAATACCGATAAGCAGTACCGGTACCGATGAAATCCTAACGATACCCATCCCTATTCATAACTCATATTCTCATACCTGAATAATTTTGAATATTCGAATAGTCGATTAATCATTCCCATCCCTACTATGTATGTGCTATTGCAAAAAAGTTGAATCTGATCTAATTATTAATATCTGTATAATAAAAAAACATTTTCATATTATTGTTTGTATTTGTTGTGTGATCTTACAGGATTCAAGATGGAGGGAAGCTGGTTCTCTGTCGAACTCTGTGAAGCCGGCGTAGGAGTTGACTGATCGGATGTGAGCAGGACCTGAAGGCAGAGCCTGAGACACATAAAGGAGTGAGAAAATAAACCTTATTCTGAAACACTGTAACAAAGTATGGCTGCCATAAACAATATGGTTCACAAATACATTCATGTTAGGCTAAATAAGCTTCTGGGAACTACATTTATTAAGACGATGCTACTGTTACTCACACATGCACTCAGCTGCAGTCGGCTCTCTGACACCGGGCTCTGCCGTGAGCTGGATCTCTCTTTGGGAGTCGAGAGCTGGAGGTCCATACTGTCTTTATGTCCTGAAACCAACACATATGTTTAGCTTTTGTAAGGCCATTCAAACAGCTATATCTGTCTGCAACATGACCAGAGTAAAATACTTTATTTATGTTTGTCTCATGTCACAATATCCCACCACAACATTCAAAGAATCATCATAACCAAAACGGTAAAATAATCAGTTCAAACATCTGATTCCTAAGTGAATCCTCACCTCCACCTGCCAAACAAAACCTTAATCAATCAAAATTACAGTTGAAAACCTCAAGTCAACCAATCATTCGTGCTGTCACTTGACAAGAACACTTCAGAAACACCAGGACCAGAGAGCAACCAGACAGGAGGACAGAGAGAGGAAAGGAAAAGGCAGCTAGAGAGTCGACTGGATCTAGATCTGGAGATGGAAAGGCCCGAGCACCCGGCAAACGCAGTCCCGAACGTAATCTCACGCTAAAACTCAAACCTCTCGTTGAACAGCCAGGCGCTGCAGGAGCCGACCGTCCTGACATATTCCATTCACTTCTCCTTTGTCTGTGGGGTTTCCTGGGTGCCACAGCAGGGGCCTGCACACAACCTGGCTTGCTGCCGTTTCCCTGAGTTTGACCCCGGGATGATTCAGCTTCAGGAGCTGGTGGGACTTCAGTGTCTGTGCTCAGAGAACCGGATCTGCACTCGTCGTCGCAGAAGGCCTCGTTCACGTACCCTAAACCTGCCTCCCTTTTTCTCTCCCCCCCTTCTAACCCCTCTGTGTTTTCTGGCTTCGCAGTGCAAGCAGGAAAGCAAGCAGGCCGAGCAGAGCCCGAAGTCTTAGAGACAACAACAACAGTCGGATACACACACACACAGCTTTCCCCCTCCTCTGAGATCTCAGCATCAATACTAGTTTCACCCTCGGTCTTGTACTTACCCACAAACGCCCCAAACTCTACAGTGGTGCAGTCTGGCTGGTAAAGCCTAGCTAGGGCGAGTTCTGGGTGGCTGGAGCCGCTGGGCTGGGCTGGGGTGCTTCTGAGGTGAAACTGGGCCCCCGGGGAGGGCACACAGGGCAGGCTGGAGGGAGAGTCGGAAAAGCCCGGCTCCTGTGGACGGGTCGGTTTATTCCGGGTGAGAGAGTGGCCGCGGAGACGCAGCTCCGGAGGGGAAATGGCCACAGCACTTTGGACAAAGCCACAGGAGCTGCCTGGGAAGACAGCCTCTGCAGCAAAGTGCCCAAGCCCAAACAACCCCCTCCTCTCTGGACTCAACGCTGGGTTCATGGTGGGGTCCAGCCCCACACTGTGTTTGCCCATCATGGATGATTTGGAGTGGGGCCCAGTGTCTGAAGCCACAGGGCCGATGTTGGGGACGACGTTCTTGGAGAGGCTGAGCTCCCGGGTGATCTGGTTGTGGACCTTGCTGGCCTCTGACGCCCTCTGAGCAGTGAGGGTCTTCAGCGTGTCCACAGTGAGGGCAGAGAGGTCCTGCAGGTGTCCGATCTGAGAGTCCAGAGTGTGCAAAGAGCGCTTTATGAAGTTCACTTTGTTCCCGACCTCCTTCAGCTGCATACACATGGTCTCAACCCTGGAAATGACATTAGGTTCAGTTAGCCACAGTTCAGCTTGTGCTACCTACTATTGTTTATGTTGAATAAAATGTTAATACTATACTATTGAAGTAAATAACCTGTCTTCTAGTATTGAGGGTGGCGTAATAAGGTGCTTAAACAGAGCGTTTCAGACAAGTGCTGGATACAGGTATACTCAGACGGACAGAGTGAGGAAAATGCGTTTTTTTTAACATTAAAGCATATTTACTAATGCTGTCAAAATTATCGCGTTAACGGCGGTAATTAATTTGTTGAATTAATTGCGTTAAAATATTTAACGCATGCGCAGAATGGCCCGCCCATACATCCCACCAGTGGCAGCGCCAGGGTATGGCTGGGGTAGGCTACACCCATACCAGGAAATGGCTTAGCCCCACTATGAAAAATTATGTTAAAGTAAGCAAAATCGCACGGAGTAGATGCACAGACAGCAGTTAGTAAGATTGATTTCAGTAGCCACTTGTCTGGAAATACCAAAGACCAGAAACGGTTTTGAAAACTTTTGTCACGTAGTGATC